GATAGCAGAACAAAGTGAATAAAAGTAGTTTGCTTTGCAAATGAATGCAAATGGCGCAGCCTTTCGGGAACAGGGGCAGTGCTCTTGATTATGAGTGAAGCTGCCATTTGGACATGGTGAAAAGAGCACGCTTGAACCATTGATTAGGGGAGATGGTGAGAGAAGTCAGGAAGGGCTGCGTTAAGCTTTGCAGTAGGGCGGGCGGGTGTCAGCGTAGTTAGAGCACAGTGGGAGAGTGACAGGGAGGATTAGTGTCAGGGAGCAGCTTTGCTGCAGCTCAGGGGATGGATGGTCCCTGGGGTCGGTCACCTCTCACTGCTGTTCTCTGCTGATGGCTTGGTAATGAAAGTGTGTGATGCATGTCTGTTCATTATCGGAAAAGGTGATTAGATGAGCTATTTATCTGTAAAGGTTATTTTATTTATTTATTTCAATACACATATTTGCATCATTTTTATTTTTTCATCTCCCATGTGTGAAGCAAAATCAGTGTTGTAGAGCAGTGCGACACCGTGTAAAAATCACTTTGAACCTTAAATTCCATGCTGCTGTTACCAAGGAAATTGGCAATGGAAAATAAGTGTTATTGGTGTGTTATTGTTTTCAAAGTCTTATTTGGACAAGTTTTACATTTGCCCTGTCTGCGTGCAACATGGCACAAAAGATTAAATGGTGCAGAGCACTGTCTTAATTAGGGATGAGCAAACTGATTCAGAAATAAGACATCTGATGAATTGCAAACTTTATTTTTTTTGCTTTGTCTTAATATACTCTGGGAGTCATGCAATTTATGAATTGTGATTTGTATCTAAATCCTGTATTGCGTAATTCCCCAAACATTAGAGTCATTTGTATGGATATATTAAAGGAGAACTATGGGGTTAAGGCTTTTCCCCATAGTTCTCCTTGGGGTAACGGGAGGACACAAACTAGCGTCCTCCAGTCAGGGGCTGACTGGCAACTTTTAGCCCAGGGGGCAAGTACAACCTAGAGGCCCATGGTGCAGCAACTTGGCCTCGCTCCCGCTCTGCCTCTTCCCCCCGCCTTCTCCTTGCCCGTCTGCCATCAATAATTTATTCACGTGGGTGAAAGTAGAGATGCATAAAAATACACCACAAAAAGAGGAAAAGCACGTTTTTTTTTTCTTTTTCATTCAACATACTTGTACATTTAAAAAAAGGAATAAAATGTATCCATGTACAGTCCCAAAATCTGACCATTTAGTAAAAAGCTGTGTGGAGCTGCAACATCTTTACACATGAGCGGTTTTCCCATGCGTATTCGGCCATACGAATACGCGCGGAACCATGCTAAACATAAAAAACAATGCATTGCAATGTGCATTCTTCAGACTATTGCGGCATCTGCGCGGTATGAGAGCGCACGTCCCGCAAAATAGTCCAGGCGCCATTTTATGGGCATGTTGCCGCTGTAGTAGTATACGCAAACGTGCGGAATCTGTGCATGTTAACGTTTGCGCGGTTTAGTTCCACACGAAAAACCGCGCAGAAAACGCTACTGCTATGTGTGAATGGAGCCTAAGAATTATTTATAATGATTGCACCCATTTCGACATTAATTTAGTCAATGACAAACTTGTTGAAGATGTTTTGTTACATAGGTAATACAAGGTTGCATATGCTTTTTTTAAAAAAAAATCATATCTCTACTGCAAATCTTTTGAAGCTATGTTTATCTAAATATATACAGTATTACAATGTTGCATATGCTTTTTTGGCCGGGTGTATTTTGCTAGGCTTGGCAGCTGTTGCAGACTTTGCATTTAAAGGGTTATTAAAGCCTCCGGTGTTTTTGCATATATCTACTTATAGCGAGCAGTAGATATATGCAAAAAGTGTAAAAAAAAAACCACTTTTAAAAGCGGTTTAAACTTACCTGTGTCTTTCCCGCACGCTCCCATCTGAAAATGTGAAAATTCTCGGGCGGCTGCATCTTGGGGCGGGTGCATGGGCAGTTCACATTTTTGGCCGGGAGACGAGGAGAGACACTAGGTAAGTCTATGGACAATGTGCACTCGCATGCAGGAAGTGCCAGCAAGCTCAGAGGAGTCAGCGCAGGATCGGTAACCCGCAGCAGCGCCGGAGGGACAGATGAAAAGGACAGGAAAGAAGAAGATTGGATTAAGAAACATCATTTAAGGTAAGTGCTGACATTAACATTGGGAGGAGGGAAAAAAAAATCTTTGACTTTAATGTCACTTTAAAGTGAGTTTTATAAAAGTAGAGATCTGATACCTGCGTGCTTATAATAAAGATACACACCTTAAGTATAAAATGACTTCTGATTTTATTATTTATTAATCCAGAACGATGACGTACATTTCAAGAAATTTAGGAAGCATTATTGCAAATCCTTGCCTGCTTTTATTCTGAAATACTGAGACAAGCCACTACAGTCATTTCCTCATAGTGGGGAGTGCTACGTTCGGTTTGACGGCTAAAACCACACGATCCGTGCCAGAATTAGCTTAATAAGGGAAAGACTGCTGGGAAAATCAGTGAGCCAACCACATGAACTGGAATTAAGATTTCTGCAGGCTTTCTGTACGTACAGAGTATTACCATAGTTGAAAGTTTTGATTTTTTTTTTTTCTTCTCTGCAGTTTTAGAAACTCAAATTGCCATGGAATGTTTATTATAATAAAATTAGCTCACAAAATGTCTTGTGTAGCCGAGATTTATTTTATTTATCTTTAATTTCTGGTGTAGGTTTTCCTTCAAATCTAACAACGCTGTAGTATAAACTATAACGCTATGCACGTTTTTCTTGTTGTCTTTTATGTACATGGATTTATAATTGTTAATTTCCCTTCTGCAGATATCGTTATTTGTATGAATACAATCATAACTGTTCTGCTATAATTAAAGTTCAAATACAATTCAAATTCAGAATAAAAAGAATGCTTGTAACAGGTTATCACATAATGTGTTTATAAAACTAAGGAAAACCTAAGGGAAAAAAACTGGCTGGTTGTAGTAGGATTACTTAAACAGAATTAGAAGAATTTCTCTGAAGTTCCTTTGACAGCTGCCCCTGGGGCTAAGACTGGTTTACCTCCTGCATGGAGTACACCCTGGTAGGTATATGCTCCAGGCACTTTACAAGACAAAATCTTTCCTCTTATTACTCCCCCTTGACCCTGCTTATTACAAACTCCAGTTTTCCTTCTAGTCTGAAGCACGAGCTTCAGACTTCCAGGCCTGGTACAAATCTGGAAGATTTGTGGCCCAATCTTTCCCTCTTTTTGGCTGCGTCCAGATGTTATCTCTGTAACTCCTCCAACAGTCATTGGTTTGTTGGGGTAGATAATGCAGTTGGGAAATCTCACTCTACCCATGAATGGAGCTATGCAGCATTCCAAAAATGTCTGTTAATATTGCATGTGGCTTCATAATTCTTTGGACTATACTGAGCCAATTGATCATTGACCCTTGCCCATCCTACTGCCCACCTGGAACATGCTTATTCAGTCTTCGCAGAATAGAATATGTGAGCTTTAGCTCACTTTTTCGACATCTCCTACAACTGCATCTGGGTATCCGATGTGGGCCTGGGAGCTGGTGACTGTAGTGGAAGCTCTCACCTGGTCCTGTCTTTTCCTTTTCTTTTTTTTTCCTTTCTTCTTTCCCCTCTTTCTTACCCAACTCCTTTCTCTATGCACTGTTCATATCCCTCCCCCTCTACCCCCATCAGACACTTACACCTTGCTTTTCTCCCTCTGCTAATTAACAATGGCGAAAAAAAATCTTGTCATTTTTGCCAGGGAAACTCTACTGCGTAAAAAAAATGATGTCTACCCTACAGGTCCGCAGGCGACTTCACACTCTATTCTGTCTATCAATTTCTCAGTATGATCTTTAGTTAATTGTTTATAATGACCAGTGATTGCCTTCTTCATTTCTCATTTTTTCCTATGTATGCTGTGATTATCTGCCCTAATAATGCTTCTTCTCAAATGGAAAATCAAAATAAAGAATATAAAAAAAAAATGAAATTAAAAATAACTTTTATAACGTCACCAATCAGGAGCAATCCTCCAACTGTTGGCCACCACATAATATTCTTAGATATGGAATTTGCGTAATAATCTACAGCTGCCCATACTGTGTACATAGTTTATGGTACATCTAAAAAAAGATTGTGCTATAGGGTCATATAGTGTGTGGCCAGCTTAACATTGTAAGATGTTTGATAGCACAATGACCATGCGGCCTAATATGTGGCCTTCCAACCCTTGAGTTCATGCTGCAGCTGGGCCCTCTATGCATTGTGTTTTGTGAGTTGTCCTTGTGTTTGCAATGGACTCCTTCACTACCCCAGTTCTTTCCCCCAATAAAATACATATGGGTAGTTTAATATTCTTTAAAACAATGTGGCCTTGGAGTGTGTCTATAAGCTCCATGGTGGGAGCATTGGATTGTAAGCTCCCTCAGGAATTGGGACTGGGGTAGTGTGTAATTGTTTCAATGTACAGAGCTTTGCAATTTGCTGGCACTGTGTATGTGAACTAAACATGAAACATATGAATAGCAACAGCTGTTATATTCCGCTAAACATCTTTAGAAATTATTTGTATTTATAAATGTGTACAACAATCCAGATTTCCTTAAGGGTGAGTAACTTGTAGAAATTGTATTTTGTAAGTTATTATTATTATTATTATGGATTAACTTAAAATTCAAAAGTGAAATTATTGTTTCATATTTTATAACCAATCCGCTCTCAATTGTCATTTTTAAATGTGTAGAAGTGTAAAAAGTAACATCACTGCTCTCCCTTTGCACCAGGTTTATAAATCTTAGTGTGTGTTATTATTATTATTTGTATTCTTATTTATAGATATATATAGATCTATCTATCTAATATCTATCTATCTATCTATCTATCTATCTATCTATCTATCTATATAATATACATATATTTTTTAAGATTGAAACTTATGTCTCTGGTAACATTGGTACGTTGTTTTTCTCTTTTAGTCACCTGAATGGACGGAGGAGGACCTCAGCCAGCTGACAAGAAGCATGGCTAAGTTCCCAGGGGGGACGCCGGGTCGATGGGAAAAGATTGCTCATGAATTGGGTCGATCAGTGGCAGATGTGAGTTTTGCTGAGATTTGCATTGTACCGAGAGTGAGAAAACTGAGAGCAGGACGGGCAGTGTGAAAGGTGGCCGGTGAATGGAGCCTGACACCGTCTTTCTTTTCAAAAGCCGCAATCCTTTTATAGGCCCTGGAAGTGAACCATTAACTAAGTAAGCAAGAAGCAGATGTGGGCAAGTCCCCCGCTCTGCAATTAACAGCTGTAACTGATCAGCTGTACAGGGGATTTTGGCGCTTAGAGGTTTAGACTACTGTAACCCGATCGCAGAAAAACAATGCCACTTATACTGTTTGCTGTAACCCTTTTCAGTCACTTGGGTGGAACATTCATGTTGATGAATTTACTTTGTTGCACTGACACATGTTAGTTTCTTGGTGTGTGTGTGTGTGTGTGTGTGTGTGTGTGTGTGTGCAATTTTCTATGCATTGTGTATAAACCATAATGATTAGCTTAGGTGGTTATTTGGATGTAGGTGGAAGCCGTGTACTTTAAATGACTTCCTCAGTCGTGCTCCCTGTTATTATCCTCCCTATGGCCAGTCATTGACTGAATGTTTCCATGTGCTATGTGTATGTGTGCTGTGAAATTGTGACATTTGACGCGTTCCTCATATGAGGACAGACTGCCTGTTCATTTATTTCAAGGGTTCAGCTACACTGTTGCACGTGCTGTACATTGGCCACAGTCATTGTACCTGATTAAGAGACTTAAAGGAGAACTATGAGGTGAGTGATTTACATTCATCCTCATAGTTAGAGCCGACATGCGACAATTAATCTGTCACACGTCGCCTCTATCCGTCCCGGCTGCTGTGCTTTCAGTATATAGCAAGCTATTGCCCACTATATACTGAGCTTTGGGTCACGGGAGGAGGTTAGTATATGTCCTCCCGTGACCCTAAAGAGAACTATGGGATAAAAAGGTTACCCCATAGTTCTCTTTTAAGGGCCTTGTTTCCTGAAATCAGAGATCCCATCCTGGAGATACAGCGCCCCTTTTCAACTTAAAGGGGATCATTTTTACATTCATTTTTTACCAACGCTGGTTTAATGCCATTCGCACTGCATTCTCTCCACTAGATGGAGCTAAGAGGCATAGGATTTTCTGATGCTCCTCGGCTCCATCTATTATTGCTGTTACTATACAAGATTTATATAGCACCAACAGTTTGCGCAGCGCTTTACAACATAGGGAGACACAATTACAATACAATACCATACAAAAATATTAGAAGGACCCTGCTCATAAGAGCTTACAGTCTACAAGGCGCAGTGCTGTGGGAGCGGCATTTGGGGGCGCTTGATTTATAAATGATCCCCTTTCAGTTGAAAAGTTGGTGGTAATGTCTCCTGCACCCTCCCCAGTCTCCGCAGCCACAATGGCTTGTACACAAATCTCCAGCCTGGTGCCTATATTTATGGTAGTATATGGCACATATGGAAGACTTGAACTGCATTTCAGTGAAAATACTCTACATTATATGTCTGTTTTAGCAATTAAATTATAATCCTGGATATAATACTGGACAGCTGCTGAAATAACAGGATAAGCCCCGACTGTATTTAGCACTGTGTTCAGTCAGTCTGTATAGACTCCTAGGCATTGAGAGGAGCACTGAAGCACAACTATTGAGCAGCACTGCTAAGCAGGAAGCATAATCTCTATGGGCAATGAGTAAAGTGTGTGTTCCATATACATATATCATATCCTATAAGCAGAAAAGTTTTTTGTTTTTTTAAACTTCTATATAGGCAAAAAAAGTGATGTTTCCCCTTTAATTATGCTTCGGCCGTGAGTGAATTTATTGTCTGTCAGCCAGGGGTTAATTAGGTTTGTTTCCCTGATTATGAAAGGGAAAAGCAGATTGTGTGTGCTGTAATCACAGCTCGTGCTTGCTGACCTGGTTACCTGTAGCCCCGTCTCCCCATCAGCTAAAGCACATCTGTTGCTTGACCCACTTTCTGAGCACAGTCTCTAGCCCGGGGCTTAGGACTCATTCCTGTTCTGTAAGAACAATCCACCCATTTTCCCCATCTGACAATGTTTACTACATAAAAACATGGAGACGTTGTACCCAATAGACTAACACGGGAAGTTGTTGTGTAGTCATAACTCCTCAGGCCCATGTCCTTTCCAAGCTCTGCTGATGTCTTCTGCAGGTTAGGAGGTTGTTTTCAAAGAACGTACTCTGTATTACACACACAGGATTTTACATCGTTCCTTCTAGTATAATAATTATCATTATTATTATTAGTGTTGGGCAAAAAAAGTGCCCATTTGTGGAATATTGTAAACACACACACACACACACACACACACACACACACACACACACACACAAATACACTTGTAAAAAAAAATTGCTCTTTATGTATATCGAACAAGTTCACACACAACTACACTTGTAAAAAAAAATTGCTCTTAATGGATATCGTACGAATTTGGTTACATTCGGACATTCAGATGCATCCGAATTTCAGAATTCGAATGGGTCCGGATGTGAACGAATCCGAATATACGTGTATCGAAAATCCTGATCCGTCCGAATTTCGTTCAAAATGAAACTAAATTGTTGGGGGTTGCATTACAGGCACGGTCATGTGACTTCCTGTTCCTGAGTAGAGAGAGTCAATAAGAGCAGTAGGAGAGCACACGGTGTAAGAACTAAAATGACAAAAGAGCCCCCCCCACTGGAAAGTTAATTTATAATTTAAGGACCCCATCCGAATAGATCCGAATTGAAAAAAAAAACAAAAACATTCAGACGGATGCGAAATCCAAAAAGTAGAAGTAGTAATATCCGAATTGATTTGAAAAAAAAAAAAAAATGTTTTGCCAGGTCGCATGGCTATTACTTACATTATTAATGTCATAATTATCGTACATTACATATCTATTAATAGATCAGATATATTCAGTGTTGGTAACATCATTTTATTACATCTCAACACATAAACAGTTGTGAAAACAGGTTTTTTTTTGCAGGCTTTCTGTACTGTTAAGTCCACCGCTGAATAATAAATACCCAGAAATATAGTCAATTCGATTTTTAAAGCTGAACTGCAATCAAAAATAAAAATGAACAGCTGCTAAAGATAAAATAGCATAATCTGCTTGTTCTGCAATATTCAGCTTCAATCCAGAAATTTCCCCCGCAGTCATTTTTTCTGCCTCCTAGATGTCCTCAGTCTGATGGTCAACATCATTCAACTCACTTCCCCCCAGCCTGTGACTGGACAGTGAAAGGAAAAGCAACATGGTAATGAGGTAATCTCTCGGTTACTGATTGGCTTTTTGTGCTGCTTCTTCCTTTCACACTCCAGCCCTGCTCTACAGAGACTGCAAGAGGCTGATACCAGGTCAAATTCAAGGAACATTGCTTGCATTTAAAAATACATTTAATGATGTATGAATGGTTACACAGCTGCATTCATGTGCGTCATTTGTTGTGCAGTCAATCTATGTTCGCACTTCCTTCGGTTGCAGTGGAGAGTGGTTCACCTTCATTCCACATCCTGACATGAAATTGCTCACAGTCTCATCTATATAACAAACTACATACAAAGACAATAAAGTTCCTTTAGGCCCCTTCCACACGGGCGGTCTGATTAGGTTTGTCTGTCAGTTTTTCAGACTACCCCGATCAGATGCCCAATGCAAGTCTGTGGGCAGCCGGATTTAAACGGACGGGTGTTCCCCGGCTCCAGTCAGGTCTGGAAAAACAAACGCAACAGTGTCCCGCTTCACCAGACCGGATCGGGGTAATCTAACATCCGATTCCCCATAGACCGACATGGGGTCCAGTCATTTCATTTTTTTCCTCCATCGCAAGACGGAGGATAAAACTGGAGCGACGGGTGTCACAGCGGTGACATTGGATCTGTACTGCATGGATCCCCTCCTGATCAGACAGTGTCTATAAGGGGCCTTAAAGTGCCACCCAACCTTTGTTGAGAAAAAAATCAATGCCCACTGGGTGATGTACATTGGATGGATTTTTACAAGCTTTGTTGCGGATTCCTCCTTTTTTGTTCTACAGAAAAAGCCATTTATTTCACAATGTCATTTCCCGACTGATTCCAGAATTAGGAGGGTCTGGCCTCATTATAACTACCTTGCACACTCTCAGTGTTCTAATGAGGAAACTTGCAGTGTCGGCATCCCTTTTAAAGTAGTGATGTGCAGTGGAGTCCTCGCTAGGTAAGGCATTTCCCCCCTGAGCCGCCCTCAGCCTGCCCCTTAGTCCGTCTCCACCCTAACCCACCACCACCACTGACCCGCTCCCAACCCGCTCACTGACCTCCTGTGTGGAGGAGGGAGGGAGGAGACAGGGAGGAGCCTCACCAAAAATGAAATTCCTATTGCAGGGGAGGCCTACATTTTTACTTGTAACTTGATGCAGGCTAATAGCAAAATGTGTGAGCCAATCACAGAAGCAGGAAATTACATTCCGTGCACCAACGCCGCCTCCAAGTTGCCATAGTGCAAAATTGAATTTTTCAAACAGTTTTAGAAAATTACTTGGCCTTCAGAATTAAATGGAAAAGTCATTTTTAATAACATTAAATGACGAAATGGTTTGTGTAGCAATTTTATATTACTTTTAAACTAAAGGCGAGATGTTCTTTCAAGTGAACCTGTCATCAGTAAGAAGTTTACATTAATATCATTATTAATCACAGAGATGCTTTCATGTGCTGGGAGTCCCAAAACCAGCGTCAGTCTATTATGTAAATCTCATCTTTGGCTCCGGCACTCCTCCTCCTTGCTATTGGACACCTCACTAAGCAATGGAGAAGCCAAAGAAGCATGGAGCAGACGGCCATAGTTCCAACTACCTAGCTGAGGTGCTTTTTTTATACAATAGCCCTGGGTTCCGGGGCTCTGCAAGCTGAATGGCGGCACAGACAGGCACGCTTCTTTTGCTAGCAGTTTGTGACGGACTAGTTTACTTTAAGGGCACCAGTTATATAGCTCAGTGCTGCTCCAGTGACACT